GGAAATCCCTGGGTCGGAAACACGGAGGTCCCCAAGCGTTTTCGTTTTAATTATATGAATCCAATTAGTATCACAACATGCTATAATCCAACTATCTAACATTCCCTGCCAGTAAAATGCAACAGCTTACCATTTAAAGCTGGCAAAATTGACCCCAAAACACCACATTCCTCACCCCTCGCAACCGACGCTGACGCCATGCTGGTTACGGCGGATGAGCACAATCTGTTTTTATAAACAATCAAGGCTGCAAAAATATCAGATGCGTTTCGCGTGCATAATTTTTTATCGCAGCCAGAAATGACAAACAATACCAAGGTTCTCATATTGTTATGTCTAAAGCGCAGACAACTTTCAACTTGAGAAAAGCGATTATTACTCGATGAAATTCAAAGAGATGTCACCTAACCCAACCTTATCGAGCCTTACCTAACCTAACCTAACCTAACTTAACCTAACCTACTGATTTTTGCCTACAGAGCTTAAATAAACCTAACCTAACCTACTGATTTTTGCCTACCAGGCATAAAGAAACCTAACCTAACCTAACCTAACCTAACCTACTGATTCTTGCCTACCAGGCATAAAGAAACCTAACCTAACCTAACCTAACCTACTGATTCTTGCCTACCGGGAATCCTAACCTAACCTAACCTAACCTAACCTAACCTAACCTAACCTAACCTACTGATTTTTGCCTACCGGTTAAGGAAATAGTTACTGGCAGGAATAGATTGCAGGCAATAGTAAATCAAATATTTTCAGGTTAAGTGGTCATGCATCAGGCTTCAGGCCTTCGGCCTGAAGCCAGATACATAACCATTTAACCTAAAAATATTTGATTTACTATTGCCTGTAATCTCTCCTAAGGCATTGCCTTCGGCACTGCACTGCTTCGCCACGAGTTGGCCACAGACGAAAACATGTACAGTACGGGCGAAGAAATGTTGGACGAAAAATGAAAATATGTAGAGACAAAAAAATGCACGGACCAAAAAACGAAAATAAAGAAAATGCACGAGCGAAAATAATTACGAACGAAACATTTCTGAAGACTTTTTCAGAAAAGTCGCTATCATTCGTCGACAGATCTGGCGCATCTCGTGAGGCGCTTTACCGAAAAAGAAAATTACCGAATTCTCTTCTATTGAAACAGAACCGAAATTCCAAAATTATTTGTGTATATCTATCACTTTTTCATAAAAAATAGTACCCCCCCCCCCCACCCAAAACCCCGGTTTCCCACAGTCCCCCTAGTGTGTTGGGTTTTATGAAGATACTACATTTCTGCGTAATGGTATTGAACGACAATTGACATGTTGACAACAGACCGTCGTGCGGCTCCACCGAGATCGTGGTAAGAATACGATTAGTTAGCTTTTGGTCTTAAAATTATCGATCAGATAACTGGAAACCACATTATTCTTACTAAACATGAGTTTCTCTATAGAATGATGTCTATATTATAGGGATTAACTAATTTTTGAAGCGGGGACCTCCATGTGTACCGCCAATCCCTGATGTTCAGTACAGTTGTCTGTACCAATATAAAGTTCACAGCTCTACTTTTTTGTGGAATCTGAGTGCTTGTGTGACATGAGACAGTTGTTAGAACACTTGGTGGAGCACCATCTCAATATTACTGATGTAATCTATAATCAGGGACGTATCCAAGGGGGGGGGCGACGGGGGCGGTCGCCCCTCCCTGGGCCCTGCCGGGCCCCAAAAGCGGGCCCGGCAGGGCCCGCTAGACAGCCCGAAAGCGGGCCCGAATGACCCGCTTAGGGCCTAGCCAGGGACAGTTTGGAGCCGGCAGAGCCAAAAAGCGAAAGGGCCTGTTCAGAAGGATTTGTTTGAGCCTTCGGGTTCAGGGTTAGGCCTCTGGGCCCTGCCGGGCCACACATGGGTCCGTAACTGGGCCCTTCGGTCCCACTTTTGGGCAGAGCCAGGGCAATTTGGAGCCCGGCAGGGCCCCAAAAGCGGAAGGACCCGTTCAGAAGGATATGGCCGTGTCTTCAGGCTTGAGGAAGGGCCCCTTTAGCCCTGCCGGGCCCAAACCTTATCGGTTTTGAACCCCAAATCCTTATCGAGCCCGAAGGTCCCACTTTTGAGCTAATTGGCCCTGGAGAAGTTATGGAAACCGGATCCGAAAAAAAAATCTTCTTCCGGGGCTAGTCACTGGGACATCTTTGCCTGTCTGGACCCTAGAAGTGGAAGGGCCCGCTGAGAAGATCTTGCCCAGGCTTTCGGGTCCAAAAAAGGCCCCGTGGGCCTTGCTGGTACCCATACGGGCCGGGCCCCAAAAGCGGACCGGGCCAAGCCAATGAAAACCTGTGACCCAGGACGTCTAAAAAAGCGGAGAAGTCCGCACAGAAGGCCTTGAACCAGGCTTTTGAGCTTGAGTAATGGGCCCTTGACCTCGACATTGTACCTAGTACCTACCAAGAAAACGGGCCCAGATATACGCTTCCGGGCCCAGTCTCAGGAACAGCTTGTCCTGGTTGGGCCCAAAAAACGGAAGGGCCCGCTGAGAAGGCCCTGCCAAGGCCATCGGGCCCGAAGAACAGGCAACAGCCGATGAAGGGCCCCTTTCGACTGACCCGATGCGGGACTGCTCCTGTTCTCCAAACAAAATCAGCTCCATAGTTCACACTACATACTATAAGCATTCTGTACAGAACGTAGTCTCAAATTCGCATGTTTTTTATTTGAGCTGCTCATTGAACTGATTTCATAGTTGAACTGACAAGAATGAGTAATATGTTAGCGTGAGCAATGCAACACAATGGGTGAATGGGTAAACAATGCAACCCCAGCTCTCCCCGGGCCGGGGCGTTTGGCCCGTTAGCCCCGTCCCGGCTTGGCCAGACGGGCCACGCAAATGCACCAATGTGTGAAGGAAGGTGTTAACTGTTTATGTTTGCGTATAGGACCAAATATGTTGCTATGCTATGTCCCATGGTGTTATGATGCAGAGGAACATACAATGTTATAAATATATGGAAATGAGTCTGAAAAGTATCGTTTGCCAATGTTAGTGGGGTGCAAAGAGGTAATACAAGATTAATAACTCATGTTCATAATGTTGTCCCGCGCCGTGCTTGTGGCCTGCGTTTTCCTTGTCGTGCTGGGGGAGGGGGGGGGGGGGTCACGCCCCCATCTAACTCGGCTCCTGGGCCACGTAGTGACACGCAGTAAGCGACACTCGAAAAAGCGTAAAAAATAATGTCAGAAATGCCTCAATCATTTTTAACGTCAGATCAAAGCGGTCTTAACGCAAAAAATTCCGGCATGCGGCTATTTTTCTGTTGGTAAAACTGGCCTCTGGCATACAAAAAATTGGCGCCGCCGTTTTTGCCATATTCACGAACAACCTGAGATGGGGGACGTGAATACCTACGCTCCCCCTAGCACGGCGCGGGTGAACGAAATTCAAAGGAAGTGAATTGCAAAAACGAACTTCAACGGAAGTTAAATGCAAACATTTTATCAAGGTCACCCAAGACAATGCATTTTCATTTGCAATATGCCGAATTCTATCGTAAATTCACTGTTTTTCGACATTCTCAATTTTTCAAACCAGGATAGACAGTCTCTGTGGGGCCCCTTTGAGCTGGCCCACGGGCCCCTTCTCGGCTGTCGCCCCTCCCTGAGCGAAATCCTGGATACGTGCCTGTCTATAATTGATTTAATTTTACATGCTTTATTGACATTCTATTGGCAAAATGAATATTCTTAATATTAAATAAGTTAATGTAAAGGCATGCTTGTTCAGTAACTCAGATTGCATTTGATTGTTTAATGCCTACGTCTGCGTATGGTAATTCACGAAAATTCTGGAAAAAACGCAGAAACTGTTATCAAGGAAGTCCCACAAATATGGATCTGCAAACCACTCACATAATTTTGTGCATGGTCGTACCTTCATCTTAAGTGCGCACACCTGCCAGCCAGGCTGACAGCCTAATTTAATATCCATATCATTACGCCAGGAGCCCAACCAACAGTATTTCCATTTAAAATCAAAATTGTGATACAGCAACTATAAAGGAATGCATAGAGTACTTAAATATGCTGTCAGCAAGCAACGTCCCATTGCAGTTACGATTGCGACGAAACAGAGACTGAGACGAGAGAACAAAGGCCAACACCACAGCCAACGTTCCTACCTTCAATCTGCGGAGCTTCCCATCCCGAGCTGCATTGAAAACAACGTTGATGAACTCCATTGCAGATGCAAGATTATTTCATATCCACCAGGCACGAACTGCTGAAATGACAACGCCCGCGACCCCAAAACGAAACGATGGACCACCACCTCCGACGAGGCTCGAACGCAATCTGCCTGAACTGCTACCAAATCGCAGATCCAGCCAAATGCTTCCATATGACTCCTTCATACGGTGAAGTATTTTCCTATGAGAGAGAATTCCTTCGGTCAGATGTTGACGTTCCCGAAATGCATGTTGTTTCGCTCCACAAATTTTCGCCAAATTTCAAGCCGTGTGACATTCATAACTGAGAGGATCTATGACACACGGAAGTTAGATTCACTGTTTCAAGAGCTGCTCGTTGATCGGATTGGGGGGTATAATATAGGCATAGGGCCTTGGCTTGGGATCGGGTAACCGGGTTCCAGCATGCATCCCAATGTCGCCTAGTGAAATGAAGTCTATCAAGTAAAGAAGTCTAACACGGACTGCGATGGAAAAATTGGATTCCAAATGAGCACTAGTGCCTTCGTGGTAAAGCGAGTCGCGAGACGCGGATACGGCGTTATTACGATAACTTTTGTATCACAGCTTGCTTGCTTTTCCAGCGTCTGTTCGTAGTTCAGTGAAAAATACCACCCATGACCAACGCATGTTGACCAGCATGCAATATAAACTTACATGACACACGGGAACACCACATCACAGTGCATTCGTGTCTGAAAATAGCGGCAGGGGCTATAAGTCCTGACCAGTCCACTCTTGTTAAAAAAAAAAAAAAAACATCACCACGTAGAGCTCGTGTATTTGATCCAGAAAGCCAGCAGGAAAAAATCAGTCCACAAACCTATGAAGAGCGACAGACGCACACAGAAGCTGATCGTGCAACAGCGGACGCCCGATTCTCAACCCACGACCACGCGGCCGGGCGCCGGGACGGCGGCGGCTGCCTACCGGCGGCGCCCGGCTGCCGGAAATTCGGAGCGCGGCGCCAACCCGCCGACAGAGCGCGGGGCACCGTTGGCGCGGCGCTCCTCAGATAGCCAGCGCGCGCGGCGCAGAGGCCGCCCGGCCGGCGCACCGCCGGACGGCCCGCGGAGCCCGTGCAGCGCGCACGTCATGGCCCAGCCATGAGCGTGCAGCCAGTGGTCGTCACTCGCGTCCTCCGGGGCGTGCGAGGGCAGCACCCCGCGGAGACGAAATCAGTTCGGCGTCCCGCCAGCTGGGACGGGACTAAGCAATCTGATGAATTTGGCGCGTCTCAACCGGGTGCTTAGAAATTACTGATGCTGCGTGTAAACGTAACGCTTTAACTTTATGTAAGCAGGATTACATATTATTCATACCTCTTGCCATAGGACCCTGTTTACCAAAGCAGCAAGAAAAGTAAAAAGCCCTCTAAACAGATGATTAAATACTTGAGAACCTCTGTCTGTGATAGCTCTGCCGTCCAAAGGCAAAAACGCATATGTCGGGTCATGACCTGACCCGACATATGCGGTTTTGCCTTTGGACGGCAGAGCTGCCAAGAGTGCACTACAAAAGCTAAAGCCACCACCCACTACGCCTGGCAGTGCGATCTGGCAGTCACCAGCCGCTAGCCTACAGGAGTCGGACGGCTGTGGCTACTGCGCCCAGCCCGCGCCGGCCGTGCCCGCGCCCCGGGGCCTCTACACGTAGTACATGGGCACCGTCTGCGGTGTGCAGGCTCTCTGGGCGTCCGCGAGCGGCGGTCGGCGGTCCTCGGCGATGTTGTTGACGGCCAAGAAGTTGTCGTGGTGCGCACGCGCCCGGAAGGCGGCTAGGTGGGCGTAGTAGGAGGGCGCCGGGTTGCTCACGGAGCGCGTGCACCGCGAGAACAGGTGGCACATGTAGTAGGTAAGGATCTCCAGCTCGTCGGCCGTAAAGTTGCTGTCGTCGTGAAGAATGTGGTAGTGGGTCGGTCGACTGGTGCCCTGCGCCGAAGAAGAAAACCATGTCACAGCATAGGAAAAATGGCAGACACACTACGTTAACCCTCCGCAATGCCACAAATTAGCAAGAAATGCATGAATATGTCAACAAATATCTAGAAAATATGGTTTCATTGTCTGGGAGGGGCTTGTTGGACAAAAACAAGACGAGATCTTTCGTTAGGTGAATGAACAATGAACATGCATTAATCAAAGTTCGCTTTATGGATCATACCTTGTTATCTCGCCTAAGTCACGGAATGAGCAAAAAAAAGGCAATACGGAAAAGCCCAGCACATGGTCACAGCTTTTTTCTTTGAGGATTTAGTCCGAACCTTTTGAATGGAAGGATTACAAGGACAGCGCCCCAGCTAAGCGAAGCTTGTTACATTGACCCTGCCTTCTTACCATCCGATCGCGCAATTCCGGTTCTATGGCAAAATTTAACTGGCAAATCAAATAACTGGCTTCTATGGCAAATAAAACTTCCGCCCAGACCTGTCATGACTTGTAGTTAATAAGTAGCTAAGTGCTAAAGAATGGCATAACAATTTCCAGCGGCGTGTTCTCAAAAGTCATTAATCTGAGCGGGCGCAGTTACCTGTACCCAATATCGGTGGAGTTGGGGAGGGCTTCCGCCGCCCAGGACCTCACCTGGATGCCCTGGTGGCTGACCAGGAAGTAGTCCAGCTCGGTGGGGTGTGCGATCACCGAGTCCACCACCGTGCCAGGAGGCACGTTCTTCGACTTGCCCTTGGCCTCGCGCAGGTCCTGCGCAAACAGGCGCGTGTGGTGACGCTTCTGCACGACCAGCAGCGTGATCTTGGGCTGGTAGTTGGCCTCCAGCTTTCTGCACGCCTCCTTGATCTGTTCCAGCTCATACTGGATGACCTGCAGGAATTGGCCCTCGCTCACTCCATCACGGAAGAAAACTATCTGCTGCGGCTTGACTCGGTTGTTCATCTTGTAGAACTCGATCAGTAGCTCTTTTACAGCGGTGCCGAGGTCGGCGATCAGTTCTTGGGCACCCTGGCCCTCCTCCGGGTACTGCACCAGCACGCGGTGCCCGTAGCGCGCGTGGAACGAGGCGTCCATGCTGGCCACCACGGCGGCGATACTGGGCTTGTTCTTCTGGTCCGGGGCCGGGTGGGTCACATCCGCTCCAAACACGATGGTCGGCACGCGCAGCATCGGCGGCCGAGTGCTCTCGTGCAGGCCGTTGTTGGAGCCACCCATTTTGGCGTTGATTTTCTGGCAGATGTTGGTGGCTGTCTGCCGATCTCCCCTGAATACCGTCTTGGAGAGGACGCACGAGGTCAGCTGACCGACCACCACGTCCCCTGCGCCCTTCACGGCGCTGTACAGCTTGTTCTTGGCCGGCAGGATGACCAGCACCAGCTGCGGCGAGTTGTACTGCTTCTTGATCTCGCTCAGGTCGCGGACGGCGTCCACGCGCTCCGGGAAGCGGCCGTCCCTCTGTACCACGCCAACCGGCTGGGCGATATTCATACCCACCTGGCGTCCCGAGTCGGCCAGGCCGCGCAGGAAGTTCTGCAGCTTGTCGTTGTAGGTGCGCGCGTAGTCGAGCACCACCCAGCGCTCCAGGTGGTGCGGGTCCAGAAATCGGCTGCCGCGCAGGTCCCAGACGCCATCGCGCGGCTGCACTCTGCCCTGGTTGTTGTAGAGCAGGGTCGGCGCCGGCAGAATGCGACCAGTCACCTCTGTCGGCCTGTAAGGTCGGGATCGTAAGTCATGACCGTGCAGACGCATGAATAAGATCTTATACTGTACGTGAAGAACATGTATTTTTACAGGTGCCATGTGCTAATTGAAAATGGGCTCGCAATGGAACCATCCGTGCCATGCGTGATATCATCATCAGGTCCATAAAAACTGACAAAGATGAACCAAATCCTGATGGGAAATCGCAGGTGTGGACGAGGGCTTAACGCAGCACAACCGGGAAAAAGCCGGACCGGTGATGAGAACGTACGTGTCGGCCACCTGGAGGCCGAACTCGCGGTTGTGTGGGTCCCGGTTGAAGTCGGCCTGGCGCACGAACTCCCTGATGCGGTTCAGACGGACGTCTGCCGGGGCGGCCGTGGTCTTGATCATTGTGGACACCTGAACGCAGAACAGCTAGTCACAAGAGACCCGCAACAGGCTCGCTATTGAGCATGTACAATGTACATACATACCAGCACGAAGGTCAGGTCAATAGATACAGAGCACCCACACTTATCAAACATACACCAATTCCTTCCAAGACCTGTCAGTGTCGAATCGTTCAGGTACGACATTGATAATAGGCACTACACCTTTTTGCGTTAGTTGTTGACCATTGGGCAAAACATTTGTACACATTCGCCATATAGATTGCACTGCAAATGGGCGGTTGGTCACACAGAATCACCATTGTGCAAAACTATTCGGGGGTCCTCCTATACAACTCAACATTGAGCGAAAGTTCCGCATTGTGCAAAATAGATCGTCAATGGTCAAAACTGTTCGTCATTGAACCGCCGAGAATTCACGTTTGGCCAAAACCGTCTATGTATATTTCGGCATTCAGAAAAACAGATAAGCCATGAACAAAACAATTTATCGCGTGCACTGCCGGCCGCAGGGGGCATGGAGCTCATGGGGCTCAATCCTTGCCATTTCCCTCATATAACTGAGTGGATGATGGATTAAGGACGTGGCGGCCGGTGAGTGTTTATTGGACGAGACCGGCCTCAGCCGTCACACCTAGCGTGCGTTCCGCTGAGCCCGGGAAGTCACCATAAATCTTTGGGGGCGGAATTCCCACACCAAACAGGTAAACAACACACTGTGCTCATTCTAGTCAGGTGAACGGTATTGCCCTGGGGCTCGAAATGAGATCGGCCTCATAAATTGACAAAAACTTGCCCTCATCAGAGAATTCGGGAATGCGAAGGCGACGGTCATCGGCATGGCACATGTGCATGGTGTCCGTCAGCTTCCGCCTTTAGGACAGTTTGTTTATTCGATGCACCAATAAAAACCTCATCCTTGAATAGGCGAATTGAGTTTTTTTAATGAAGTGCACAACGACCAACGTAGCACTAGCCTGGCGTGCTATGTTGGAATGGTAGGTGCATTGACGGAAATGACTTCAATGCATGGAACAATGCCAGCATTGAACGTACTGAATTCAGTTGTGTACATAAGCACATTGGAAGCAAAAGAAAAAAAACGCAAGAGAACATTTTTTGGTAGCTAAAATGAGGTCAAAAGTTATTTTCAACCAAATATTTCAGCTGCATTGATTGGCATTGTTCGTCGGTTAGCTAAACGTACTGCATATAAGCTTGACTGCAAATTACCGTACTGTTTCATTTAGAAAGAACCTATAACGAAGGCTGACTTCTTGCTTAGAAATACCCATAGTGGTCATGCTCAAGTGGTGAATGGTCGATATGTGTTAAATCCATTTTAAAAACTACCCTAGATATCCATTTACTCTGTTTTAAACACTGCTGAAATATCACCAAATGCCGAGCTATTTCGCTCATTGCCGAAGTCAAGGCCAAGTGTCAAACAGTTTTGCAGATCGCTCATTTCAGTGTTCAATCGGTTTTGCTGAATGGCTGAAAGGAAACACACAACGCAGGAATAGTTGTGCTCAATGCCGATTGTCGAAATGGCTCCTCAAACAGTTATGCCAATGGTTGAATTCAAAGGCAAAAAGGTGTAGTGAGGAAAATAACATTTCCGAGAATACCGAACAAAGTTTATTACCTGCATTAACTCTAACCCACTGGTTTCAGTCAGACCCAGACAAGGAAAAACTGTCTAAAGGGAGATACAGGGGATAGCAGGGAAAATGACGGACTTTTGTCCGAACACTTCATCTCATTTGCATTGTCCATGTCGGCCAAAGAGTCAGGAGAGAGGGGTAGTTAATCTTCAATGGCAGCCAAACTAGTGATTTATTTAAAAAAGGTAGATTGTAGAATGTAGATCCATTGGTGTAATACTGCGGACCAAATACGTTTAGGACCCGAGGGTGGTAGCCGGCCAAGACGTAGCGCCAGCAGTCTCACCTGGTCTGGACTCAGCTTGTGGTTGTTCACCTGGCCCTTCACCACCGTGCAAACCTCCGCTGGGATGTAAATCTTCTTGTTCTTGGAGCCGACCCAGAGGCACGGCAGGTTGGGGTACTGCAGCTGGACACCGTACTCCTTGGAGAAGAACTGCTCCACAGTCATCTGCAACAGGGGGCGGCCACCGGTCGGAGTGACCGCTTCGAGAAACCCGCTTACTGGCTCCCACAACGGCAGAGACGTGCGGCGGGACACAGCTTGATATTAAATATTTTGGACACAATTACTAGCGAACCGCCATCGACCTGTCATCAAGTGACGCATGAGCAGGCCTCGCTTGCTATGGAATCCCGTTCGCGTCGCCTTAACAAGCACACTGGGTGCCTCACCTGTCTGCCATTGTGGTCGAACTTGTGCGTTCTGGGCGTGTCGCGCACCATCTTGTTGATGCGGTAGGAGCGCTTCCCCTGGTTGCCTCGTGTGTACTCCACCTTCAGGTTGGCCAGTTGTTTGTTCACCTCCTGGAACTGTAACAGCCGGAAGGGCGGACGAAACGTCAGGGTCAGGCACAGGTCACCTCAGTCAGCAGGGCACACAACGTATACCCCCTTCCACACAAATCTAATGGTCACCCCGACAGCCAGTGAGGCTGAACCAACTAAATATAGTTAGGTAAATGTGTTTTGAATGATGCTACTGCAGACGTGGTGTCTGACCTAGACAACCATTGGCAACGATTATTTCACTAAGAACTTGTTACAGTGTCTTTAACCGTTCCTTTAACTTTATTATAAATTGTCACCACACAGAGAGTTTCAACGATGCTGGTTTATGTAAAGTACAATTACTAGTTTGAACTAAGAAATTATAAAAGCCAAAAAGCTAGCAATCCGTCCATGGTGCTGACACGTCCTTCTGACACTAGCTACCTTGCTCAGGATATGTGGCTCAGCGGAGAGCGCTAGCCACTCACACTTTGGGCATTACATTAGTTTATTCGTACCTGCATTGGATTCAGACCTCGGGCAGGGTCAAACCGGTCCCCGATGATCTCATACATCTTATCCATGACGTGTATTGGCTTGTGGAAGGCCTTGTTGGCCACGTCGATGTTGATGCGCGTCTGTTTCCAGCCGCAGCGGATGGTGGAGAAGTATCCGATCCAGAGCTCGCAGCCGCCGCCGATGTCGATGGTCCGGCCGCCCTGGTCCGGGAAGAAGGAGCGGCCGACCGGTGTGAAGCGCAGGCTGGGCAGGTGGCGCAGCACAATGTCCAGCGCCAGCACGGCCGCCTGCGGCGTGTTGTTGGAGCTGCCGCCGACCAGGTACTGCATCAGCGGCTCGATGTCCACCTGGCAGGGGTCGGCCGCCTTCACCGTCAGCTTATAGTCGCGAGCCAGGTCGCCCGCCTCCTGAAACGACACCGTCATATCCACCTGTTTGCCTTTCAGAGGCAGCTGACGGGCCGTGTACATATTCTTCTCGCCATCAAATACAGGAAAGTACTTCCCAAACTGTGCGTTCTCTTTCATTGCCTTATCGAAGATACGGCGCTTCACAGTTTTGGGCATCCTCTTCTCGAACTCTACATCATAGTGGTACACTTCTCTGCACTTGATGCTCAAGTTGAAATGGTTGGTGAGCAGCTTTATCGGGCGACCCATCCTCCCTGGGCCCTTGCTCTTGGGTGGCTGCAGCTTGCAGATGCTCTTCTCCGAGGGCGCCGGCTGGAACACACTCTCTGCGGCCTTTTTCGTCTCCGCCACGGACATGTCAGCCATCTGCCGTGTAACATCGCCGGCCGGGCCCCCCTGCTGCGGCGGAGGTGACTTCAGCTGCGGCGGCGGCGGCGACTGGGGCTGCTGGGCCGCCTGTGGCCGAGAGTCCTGGGCTCTCGCGCCTCTCGGGGCTGCGCCACGACCCCTGCCTCTGCCCCGGCCCGCACCCACAGTCAGCCCGGGTGGTGCCGTCGGCGTGGGCGTCGGTGCCGGAGTCGGCCTAGGCGTAGATGCCGGTGTCGATGTCCCCGATGAACTTGGAGTTGAAGAGGACTTTGGCGCCGGTGCTGCGGCCGGTGCCGGTGTTGCAGCCGGTGCTGCGGCCAGCGCCGGTGTTGCAGCCGGTGCTGCGGCCGGCGCCGGTGTTGCAGCCGGTGCTGGGGCTGGTGCTGCGGCAGGTGCAGCGGCCGGCGCTGGAGCTGGAGTTGGCGCCGGGGCTGGGGCAGGTGTCGGCTCTGAGGCGGCGGGAGAATCACCACCCGTGGCGCCGTCCCCGGCCGGCGACTGGGCCGCAGCCTGGGCGGCCGCCGTCGCCGCTGCCGTCGGCTTCTTGCGAGGCTTCTTTCTTCCCATATTCAAAACGGGGATACGACTTTCTTCGGGCGAGGCCTTTTACCTGAAACGAATGGGATGATTTGTAGATCAGAGCTCACAAATAGTAGATAGTGGTACATCTAAACTGTTACCCAAATGCTGGTCATATTATCATTGTCAGTAGCGGCGAAACACCTTCAATTAAGGGGGGGGGGGGGCACTGCCAACTTTTGGTCCCATTCTTTCCATGCAACGCCCATAGGGCTAATGTTGAAATGCCAAAATCAAACGGGGGCACGGTGCCCCGGTGCCCTCCCTGTTCCGCCGCCTATGATCATTGTCGGACTCCAGGGTACCAAAGCCTACTCTACAGCATCGCACAATTATTGTACAACCGTCTGCCTAACGAATTTAGAAACCTGCCTCTGGATTCTGGACAACTTTTTAACACTTTGTTTCTGAGCTGTTCTGCGTTTTTTTTTTGGGGGGGGATGGATACGTGATTTGGTTTGTTTGCTGAGTGATGTGATGTGAAGACGTGAGTACCTACATTTTAACCTTTTTCCCTTTTATGAGTTTTATTCTGACACATCACTCGGAATAGCCATTTTACTGTCATTTTGTCAAATACAATGATATACATTTGAGGTGCCGAGAAGGATTGAACTGTCCTGAGGAAGTACGATGGAATAGGGGGAACTAAGGAACTAGGAAGCTGACACTTTCATTTCATATGCGCAGTTCGTGTGGTTCGGGCAGTTCGTGTGGTTCGGAATTCAAATATTAACATAGGTATTAGGTAATACTGATATAGGATTGTTGCAAGACATCTACTACCGGGAATTCTGAAATAAATATTCCTATTTCAAAGCCATATGTTTCAAGCATGGAAGGCACGAGACAAATGAACCACTTTCTAACATATACAATTGCCAATGCCAATTTCTGTGGTAACATCTGATTCGTGCTGACTTCTGATCTGCGGCCGGTTATATAGCCTTGCTGCGGCCACAGAGGACGTGTTTCAGATGAGCGCCCTCTCCAGCCCTCTCGCTCCACACACAGCTCTGCACGTCACCGAGCGGACTCCACCGCAGCCCGGCAGGTCTCCGGCCGCACTCGACACACGGCAGACGTCACTGCCCGCTTGAGGTCATCTGTGGTCCTGGCGCTTTGGTAGACTTGTGAGTTGTGACTTCAGGTGACCCCAGAGAAAGAGATCAAATGGGGTTAGATACGGAGAAAACGGGGACGATGGCCGCACCTCTCATCGAAAGATGATCTGCGAACTGAATGGGTTCCACAATGCGCAGCCATTATTGTCACAATGGCAGTGTGCGACAAGTCTCAGTCTTGTTCTTGTTGGAACCATTGTTGGTCCAACATCCGGACGTCTCCAGCCAGCTGCCTGTTCAAGGAGAGGTGCCATACCCAGAGATGTTTGCTAATCAAACCATTATCAAACCAAGTCCTAACCTAACCTGCCCTAACCTTACCTACAGCCTTCAACCTAAAACTTACAACATAACCTAAAGCGCCTCTCCTTGGTTGCAAAAAAAAAAAACAAGTGTGACATCACTGACACCTGCTTGGCTACTACTGTACTTTGTAGGTTGTATTTTTGTAGGTTGTGTAATGTGTTGCGGGTTTGGAGGTATGGTTGGTAGGTTGTAGGTTAGTAGGTAAGGTTAGGTCAGGTTAAACTATTTTGATTTTATTTTTTAATTTGTTTTGGACATTTGTGGGTGAAATTCATTCAAAAAAAAAGTGTTTGACATTAGCCAAATCTGTGTTCAGGGACTAAGGCCTAGTGACTTTTCACAAATGGGTTGCAGTATTGGCATGTGAGATGCCTGCTACATGAATACTGTTAACTCTTGGACCTTGGTAATGAACTTTGTCCAGCCTGTAGTTTTAGAGCCTTGGATCTTGGTATTAAATAAAATGGCATTGTGCGTGCTCGCCGGACCTATTGGTTTTCTACATACGCGCCGGCTGGGGGGGGGGGGGGCGGGTACGACCGCCCCCCCTTGCCGTTTCGCCCCTGGTGGAGCTAGCGCGTCGCGGAAAAAACGAGCGTGTGCGCCGTTACGAGACGCAGAGATTGGTACCCGATTTTAAGGTCCTAGGTCAACCGATGACCTCTGAGGTCAGGTCAGGTGCCCCAAGGTACGGTTCAGATTTTGGTGAATAACTTCGCAAAAAAACGGCCGCAGAGCCGCGATTTTGGCAACATCGTGTTTGCCTCGCTCAGGCGCGTCGCATGATATACTTTTTGTTTGGGTCAGGTCAAATTAGGGTGTTGACCTCAGGTCACGGTCAGGTCAGCGCCCCCAGGTCACGAAGTTGGTCGAAAGAGGTCATGTCGCATATCATTCGATTCGGCAGGTCTTCCCTGAGTCCATTGGTAGCTTTCCCCACTCGCTAACTTAATTTGATCGGGAGTTATTGACGAAAAACTAATATTTTTTATAAATTTAGTCCGAACCTTTTGATAGGAAGGATTCACAAGGACAGAAGAGCCACCGCTAAGCGAAGCTTGTTGCGGTGACCCTGCCCTCTACCCTCCGATCGCGCAATTCCAGTTCTATGGCAGAATTTAGAGTCCAAAGTTTAACGTGCGCACATAGCCGCGCACGGCCGGTCCCCTCACAGACTTCGCCTGGCTACGGCCTGCCACCAACCGCAACCATACCTGTCAGGAGGCCCATAAATGTCAAGCGCCCGTCGCGCTTCGAGCCCGGACTGTTATAACCGGGAACGCGTGCTCTCACCACGCGGAGTCCAGCGCTCTACCAACTGAGCTACGGGACCGGCAAGGCAAGGCAAAAGGCAAATATGACCTTGATGACGTCATAAATGACGTAACGCAAGGTCAACATTGCAAAAGTGACGCATCTTACCTTGGAATGAGTGCATCAAATCACGATTCTGTGTGCTTGAGATAGTTGGAGATCGTTCCCGGCGCCAGAATAGCAGTTTTCATTTTTCCCCATTGACTTATAATGGTGAGGTCACGGAAATGACCTGACCTCATATGAACTTCAGGAAAAATCCGAGATATACAAGTTGTGAGACTAGTAATGGATACTAGATCCTGCAAGTTTTATTTCCCTGTGAAAGCTCCTCTGGCAATGAGGGCGTTACGAAGTTGCGACATCTGAAGACCGTGCAGAGGTTCACTTATGACGTCATAGGTCAGTGACCTGGACCCTGTTTCACCGGTGATAGCAGCACGCTGCTATCACACGTGTCAAATTGGGTTTCCATGGAAACATCAACAAACCATGGCGTCGTCAAACTGCGTGATATCATCAAATATTGCTGCTAACATCTTCACGGCCGCGCGATCAGACAAATGTATCAATCGCAATTCAACGAGACAGCAACTCTGTTCCAAACGCAGCTCACGGATTACACGAAACGTCATTAGTGTGACCTCATCACATTACGTCAGCTCGCGCAATTTGATAGTAGCGTGCTGCTATCACCGGTGAAACAGGGCCCTGACCTGACCCGAAAATGCGGTTGGTGTCAAAAGATCCGGCTTGAATCAAAGGTCAGGTATGCCAAGTTTCAGCTCTCCATCGCCCACGTGTTCGGAGCTATCGCGAAAAAAAAAAACCTATGCCCCCCCTCGGCCGGCGAGGGTTAGGTAATGTGCAATTTTATTGTTGTGATTTCATTAGCTGACGCCCCTAAAAGCAAAATCAAATTAAGACTATTTAGAAGCTTTCAGTAAAAATACTTATATTGTTATTCACCATGCCTATTAATGAAGTTGTCACCAAAAAATACAGGACGTATCATTGAGGATTATTCGCCAGCTGGCGCCGTATGGTGGCACTAGCAGAGCTTGTTATCAGACATGTGCATTAGGCCCCATCAAATTTTATAAAGTTTTTGGAAGACCAGCTCCCCTGGTGTTTTCCCATTGCTTGTTGGCCCAATAAAAAGCATGCAAAATTTCAGCTTCCTAGCTCAGCGTTTGCGTCTGCCTCAAAGGCCTCGAAGTTTGCCTCATAGGGCATAATTGAGACTGCAATGCCGGTGTTAGCTGCATTGTCCTGGCAGCGGCGTTCATTGGCACAATATCGCCACAAATCAACTGCTGCCCAAACAAGAGATGAACATAACTAGTCTTTGCCATCGCCCCCTCCCGCACACCCCTCCCATCCTTACCCCCCACCCCCGATTTTGTAATACATCGTTTGATTTACACGCATTGCTCACGATCACTTTATCTGTTTTCCGGATGCCTAAAGGCTGATTGAGACAAATATATTAGTACCTAGCTCAGGGTTACTTTTACAGGAAAAGTCGAGAGGGGGAATAAAATTCGGGGAGGTCATGACCCCGTCCCCCGCCGGTTTCTACGCCGACGCCTGTGCCGAAATGCCAGTGAGTGCAGTGGCGGATCCAGGGGGGGGGGGGGTCAAATGGGTCATGACCCCCCTCCGGGATCCGGGGGCACCAAAGGCCTGCCAGGGGCACCACAGGCTTGTCAGGGGCACCACAGGCCTGTCAGGAGCACCATCGGCCTAGCAAGAGCACCACAGGTCTGACAGGGGCACCACTGACCTGCCAGGAGCACCGTCAGTCTCGCAGGGGCACCTTGGGCCTGTCAGGGGCACCACGGGCCTGTCGGGAGCACTTCAAGTTTGTCAGGGCACCACAGTCCTGTCTGGGCCCAGGTGCACCAGCGGCCTAGCAGCGGCACCACAGGCCCGCCAGGGGCACTACCGGCCTCGCAGGGGTATGTTGGGCCTGTCAGGGGAACCACGGTTCTGTCAGGGGCATTTCAGGCTTTTCAGGGGCACCACAGTCCTGTCAGGAACACCATCGGCCTCGCAAGAGCCCCACAGGCATGCCAGGGGCATCACAGACCTGCCAGGGGCACCACCTGCCTCGCAGGGGCACTACCGGCCTCGCAGGGGCACCACCGGCCTGGCATGGGCACATTGGGCCTGTCAGGGGCACCACGGGCCTGTCAGGGACACTTCAGGCTTGTCAGGGGCACCACCCAGTAAACATGCCGACGTCGGCCCGACGTCGGGCCGAGGCTCGGCCCGACGTCGGCCCGAAGTCGGCTCAACCTCGGCCCGACATCGGCTGGACGTCGGGTACGCCCGCATGTACCGACGTCCAGCCGAAGTCCAGCCGACGTCGAGCCGATGTCGGGCCGAGGTCGTCTGCCGAGGTTGACGAGATCGTTTGTCGTTGGACCGACGGGGCCGACGTTGGCATGTTTATTGGGACAACGCGCCAAAAATATCAACCGGCGGCGGGATTCGAGCCCCCCAGTCGCCGACGTCGGCATGTTTACTGGGACAACGCGCCAAAAGCATCAGCCGGCGATTGGATTCGAACCCCGTGTCATTTGAACGCGAGGTTAGTGCACTAACCACTACACCACGCAACCAGTTGGCGAATGTAGTTTGTTTTGTTGGGTTATGCCCTTTCGGTCTGACAAGACCATTTCAGAGCCGGAAGGATGACAGGATGGAGACATTGGTCTTCTTGGCGAGCACCCTGGGTCCAGCTCATATAGAGTCCCATTGCTGTTACGTGACACTTATTGGAAAGGGCGACCCCACAAATGGATTCATATAGCCACCCTTACACACCTGCACCAAGGTTTCCCAAAGTGTCCCTTTGATAAGTGGCACTTTGGCAAAGTGACACTTGCCGACCGGCCTTTCTATATGAACTGGGCCCGGCCCTGGGCCCTGTTTCACCGGTGATAGCAGCACGCTACTATCAAATTGCGCGAGCTGACGTAATGTGGTGACGCCACAGTAATGACGTTTCGTGTAATCCGTGAGCTTCTCCATAGCTACGTTTGGAACAGAGTTGCAGTGTCGTTGAATGCATTTGATTTGATCGCACGGCCGTGAAGATGTTAGCAGCAATATTTGATGACATCACACAGTTTGACGACGCCATGGTTTGTTGATGTCTCCATGGAAACCCAATTTCACACGTGTGATAGCAGCGTGCTGCTATCACCGGTGAAACAGGGCCCAGGTGAGTTGCCGGGGCTAAGTCTGACCAAAGGATAGGCCGAGCAGCCCCCAAGCACTCATCGCAACCGGCTACGGGCGAGCTCGGCTTACGGGCAATCCCAAATGGGATAAAGTTTCCCGTCCAGTCCGGATCAGGGGGTTGCGGCGTGGAGGAAGATTTGAGTTTCCTGAGGATATTTTGAATACAGAAGCTCTTTATGAAATATGAAACATGCATTTTATATTATTTTAACGGTCAAAACAGTGGCCGATGTCGGTCCGACGTCGCTCCGACGTCGGCTGGACCTCAGCAATTGACCTCGGTCCGACGTCGGCCCGACGTCGGCTGGACGTCGGTACATGCGGGCATACCCGATATCCAGCCGACGTCGTGCCGAGGTTGGACCGACGTCGGGCCGACGTCTGCATGCCGATGCCGAGATGCCGACGTCACCGACGTCGTCGGCATGTTTACTGGGCATGTTTCTTCCAGCGGTACCACGAACCTGCCAGGGGCACCTGCGGCCTAGCAGTGGAACTTCAGGTCCAAAAAATGAAATTAGGGCACCACCAAAATTAAGTGGCCGAAATCCGTTGAGCTGAATCCACTTCGAATCATGACCCTCCCCTTGGAGTTTTGCTGGATCCGCCCCTGAGTGAGTGCGAAAAGACAAGACAAGAGACGGTCCCACCGACCATCCGATCGGTATCGGGTCAAATCTGGAGTTCCGGATATTTTAAGTTCCGCCCGGGCGGTGCCACCAAGATTACTTTACTACGGTGCCACTGCCCACAGTCATTGATAATATCTTAGCACCAGCAACGTTAATTGATGACTAGAATCTGAATAACGATGACTAGAGAATCTGAATAGCGAATTAATTGAAAATGGGCTCAAAAATAATTTTGAAAGGGGGAAATTCCCCCTTCCCTCCCTAGCTATTATGACACAATTTGAAAGGGGGAGCGGAATTTTCGAAGGGGGGAAATTCCCTCCCCCCCCCTTTAAAAGTAACCCTGGCATAGCTTGAACATGCATGTGCATATGTATACTAATTTCGACTCAATACTGCTGCGGCGGCAAACAGATAACTAGGAACGACAACAGCAGCAGGAGACCAAGACGGCGGGCACAGCACTGGTGACGGTGACGGGTACCGGTGTCACCCATTATGGTCGAGTCTGCGTGTCCGGTGTCGTGGCTTACCTACAAGCACGAAGGTTTTCTTGCGCGGCTTTTTGGAAAACTCTGCAGTGCGGTCTAGGAAAGAACCCTGCAGTTTTTAGAAACTCGTCATTTCTTTCCATGCAACGACATAATATGAGGACGCCTTTAGGGCCCTAAGGGGGCGCCCAAAATTTAAAGGTACAGGACAATGGGCTTGACCTGAATGCCCGCGTATGCTGGATACGCCTCTGCTCTGGAGGCTGAGGGGCGCCATGTTTTTTGTTCTTTTCTTAATGGGGCGCCCAATCGCCTGTGATCTTTAATGGGGCGCGTGTTACGCTTTGCAGATCAGCATCTGTGGTGTTACTTGTGTGCCAAGTGCTCTGCCCCCTGGAAGGGGCGCCATTGTTGAGGGGCGCCGAATGTTCTTGAGAGGTGCCAGTAATATTGAATGGGAGCGCCGGATGTTCTGGAGGGGCGTCAGTGATATTGAATAGTGTGCCGCATGCTCTGAATGGGACGCCAGCGATAATGAATGGGGCGCCCACTCGCCCGTGAATTTCAATGGGGTGCCTGATGGCCCTGATACGTTTAAGAGACGTGTCGGTGGTGTTGAATGGCGTTCCGAGTGATCAAGAAGGGGCAACATTTTTTGGAAGGGACACGTCATATACTCTGGATGGTGCGCATTTAATACTGCAGGCGCAGATACAGAGGGCGGCAGGGGTAACTGCCCCCCCCCCCCGGCAAAGTGGCGCCCTTTCAGCTGTCCGGTGCTCGGCGCCGGGCACCGATAACGTACTATATAAGGCGCGCTTTAGCACTACCAATACCCACGACCCATGCACCAGCGCCCCACACAAACCTCCAACGCAACAGTAGCTGGTAGTGGATTGCATATTCAACATAAATCCCTGTGGCGCCCTTTCAGATCCTGCCATCGCCCCTACCAGTATTATGTGCACACCATCCAGAGTATATGACGTGCCCCTTCCGAAAAATGTCGCCCCTTCTTGATCACTCGGCACGCCATTCAACACCATCAAAACATCTCTTAAACGTATCAGGCACCCCATTGAAGTTCACTGGCGAGTTTATTGAAAGGTATTTCAAGACAAAATAGTTGATCCCAGATGCCTTATATCAGGCACACGTTGCAACTTGCAGGCGAAAGGCAATTTCATGTACACAGAGTGAAAAACCGGGTCAGTTGGGCAAACTAGACTTTTGGAATCAAAATATGGAGGCATCAATAATTTGATTCTGGTGGGAGGAGCCATGACCAAATATGGGCATGGAATCAATTTTTTGATTCATTTGGGTACACTTTTGACTTCAAATGAATCGTTACGGTTGAAAAAAGGCCCATGACTGTAAGATTTTTCTTTTAAAAGGTAGAAAAATGTGGTAGGTTTGCAAAAAGTGTTACCTCAAAGCTAAGAAATTGTCCCTTTGGCCTTGTGAATGGGAAAAAGACAGAGCCACTGTCCATCACGTAAAAGCTGTTTTGAGGAAATCACACTGTATGTTATTTTTGTATCATGAATCACATACTAACCAATCAGTATTTGTGTAAAATGGCAAAATGAAATTTTTAAACCCCTAATTATCATTGTTGTAGTGCTTTTATATTATTTATATGGTTTTTACCTGTTGCTTCAGTTTTTGTATTCTTGACATTTAAAAATTGTGAATTGTTATCAAATGTAGTGAAGGTAAAGTACAACAATGCTATAGGTATCAGTTGTGGTGCTGAGGATACCACTAAATGAGAATAATAGCAAGATAAATGCTGTATTCTTGCAAGTCATTGTTGCCTATCTGTTAACATTCCCTGTGAATCAAAATAATGATTAGCCAGCTGATGGGGAATCAATATTATGATTATCTGTTTTAAAGGGACCCTCCCACCTTCAAAAAAGTTAATGAATTGGCATAAAAGTGAATCAATTCCTTGATTGCCTTTCACTACCTATAGAATTCAAATTGTTATGATACAAGCAATATTATTTTGCTTAGGAGATAGTTCAAGCATTTCTGTTCAAGATCAGGCATGCTCCTTCTTGAAACACTCTCTTATTTTTATGTGATTGGTAAGTTAGAAATGGTTTGCATTTATGCCCAAAAGGAATCAATCTTTTGATGCCTCCATATTTTGATTCCAAAGGTCTAGTTTGCCCAACTGGGGTCTAGCCACTGCCCAAGTGCCCACTGGAAGAAAATTGTCTTTTCACAAAACCGGCCCATACCTCCCGGGTCTCCCCTACCTGTCACACGACACACACCACATCAACATAAGATTGTTCACACCAACGTTCACACCAAGGCTATATAAACCACACCCCTCTCACATGCCTTTCACCACTCTAGTGCATGCTAGTGCCAGGTATATAAAAACACTGCTAGTGCAGCTCAACACCAACAAACAAATCAACGATTGTCCAAGGACGTATATAGGAGGTAGAAAGATAATCACAGATAATCTGTTTGCTTACATCGTTGACCTTGAAAAGATTACGTCAGTGGTTATGGAACAGGTGAGTTGAGCTGGTGAGCGGGTGTCTGCCAGTCTTCGCCAATATTTATCTTTGAGGATTTTGGCCTCTACAGTTTGATATTGACCTTTGAACTCCCATAGAGCCTAAAAAAGATAATTTGCTAATTGCTATGCTGTACAGCTCGACAAAACCTTGACACTCCATGACGTCATTTGTCTCCTGGACAGTCGAGCCCCAGCGTTTGCAGCGTCCGCGCCACGTCTGCATAAAGATGACGAAACGTGACGCAATATTGCGCAAGGGACTTCCCCGCCGCTTACCGCTATCCAGGGACGCCGGTGAAAACAGGGCGCCGGAGGGCATATTAGTCACGTGACATTTGGAACTTCTCCCGCTCCATGGGCCTTCTATATCCCAAACATCACGTGTAAATTTAACGAACCTTGATCAAATCGCCCCAGGCGCCCTGTTTTCACCGTCGTCCCTATCCAGAGCCCTGATCGGCGGCCGGCTAGTACTCTTGCCCGCGCTCACATACGTGCACGTTACCCCGGCAACGGGCTATTGACCAATGAGAAGCGAGAAAAGTGTTACGTCACTGCGATTTTTCATATACCTGTGCCCCCCGGACGTGACGTAGTGTGCTCGCGCGCGTGCAGGGTCTCTGCGATCGAAAAAGAGCGCTAGCAGCGCGCCACTCGACGCCGCAATTGTCAAAAGTGGCGTGTTAGTATGCTTTATTATGAATGATGTGTGTAAAAGTGAGTTTTTATGTTGTTAATTTGGAGGAAATGGTTGGAATAAAATAAGTTATTTTTATTTCTATTGGTTGGAGTTTTTATTCAAAAGATTTCGGTCTATAGCATTGATATTTACTGAAAATACCTTTGTTTGAATTAATTGCAGATATTTGGCAACTGAAGTGTTAGGTAAGCAAAAATGATACGTGAAAAGGTAGGAGACACCCTGATTATCATTTGAGAAACGAAAATATATGAATTTCCCTCATAAGACTCGCTCAATATGCTACTCCGCGGTTTATGCCCCGAGGGTGTCCGACGGTTCCCGTTAGTTTGTCGTTGGCGCCAGCTCGCGCGCGAGCCGACGTCATCGCCCGTGACGTCGGCTCGCGGAATGCGTCATACCCTGCACACAAAATAGCCGGCTGCCGAACAGCGCTCCCGGCAACGGGCTATTGACCAATGAGAAGCGAGAAAAGTGTTACGTCACTGCGATTTTTCATATACCTGTGCCCCCCGGACGTGACGTAGTGTGCTCGCGCGCGTGCAGGGTCTCTGCGATCGAAAAAGAGCGCTAGCAGCGCGCCACTCGACGCCGCAATTGTCAAAAGCGGCGTGTTAGTATGCTTTATTATGAATGATGTGTGTAAAAGTGAGTTTTTATGTTGATTATTTGGAGGAAATGGTTGGAATAAATTAAGTTATTTTTATTTCTGTTGGTTGGAGTTTTTATTCAAAAGATTTCGGTCTATACCATTGATATTTACTGAAAATACCTTCGCTTGAATAAATTGCAGATATTTGGCAACTGAAGTGTTAGGTAAGCCTAAATGATATGTAAAAAGGTAAGAGACACCCTGATTATCATTTGAGAAACGAAAATATATGAATTTCCCTTATAAGACTCGCTCAACATGCTACTCCGCGGTTTATGCCCCGAGGGTGTCCGAGGGTTCCCGTTAGTTTGTCGTTGGCGCTCGGCTCGCGCGCGAGCCGACGTCACCGCCTGTGACGTCGGCTCGCGAAATACGTCATACCCTGCACACAAAATAGCCGACTGCCGAACAGCGCTCAGAGTATATAGAACACCGGAGCCCTGATCGGCGGCCGGCTAGTACTCTTGCCCGCGCTCACATACGTGCACGTTACCCCGGCAACGGGCTATTGACCAATGAGAAGCGAGAAAAGTGTTACGTCACTGATGATGATGATGATGATGATGATGTGGTCGGGCTGTCACCGGTTGCATCGGTAGCCCTATAAACGCGCGTCGGGTGGTGGGAGGTTTCTGGGATATGGTTAGGATGTAACCTGGACAGAATTAGACAAGTCAGCTTCTGTCCGCTCCAGTCCTCTGCTCACCATCCGTCACGGTCACCAGTTTCCTCTTCCTCAGTCTCCAGAGCTTGTAGAGTCCCTCCTTGTTCTTCTCCATCTCTTCCGTGCTTTCATTGAAGAGGAATGTCTTCAGGACTTCTAGTTGGTCTTCTTGGTGTGGGCGTTGGAGTGAAGTTATCTTGAGCCGTTCTTCTGCGAGTTTGGTGCACTCAAGCAGGAAGTGGTGCTGGTCTTCCTCCCCATCTCCACACAGGAGACACGTGGTTTCTTCGCCAGTGTGTCTCTTCCTAGTCTCCAGCGGAAGCGTGTTGGATCTGGCCTGGAAGAGTATGATTGACGATGCTGTGTTATCGTAGATCGGATCTTCTTTAATGGCTGTTTTGGCAGATCGGTATACCATTATACTGGACTTAGCCTCGAACTCTTCTTTCCACTGTTTGTCATCCCACTCTTTCAGGCGTTTCTTCAAGGTAGACTTGTTCATCCTCTCCAGTTCTGCAGCATTTAATCCCACAGCTTCCAGGTACCGTTTCGTTGTCTTATCTTCGCCCATGTACTTTTCCGCACTTCTAGTTCTGCTCTGGCGATCCTTCTGATGAGGTCGTTGCTTCCTTGCATCGCGCCTCTCAGGAACTGCAAGTGCCCTTCCATGATCCTGGTCTTCATCAGGGAGGTTCCCACCTCACCTCTGAGCGTACAGATCGGCGTGTATCTCGGTGCTCCCAGAATTTGTCTGAACACTCCATTCTCACATACTTGGAGCTTCTTGATGTCTGCGTCCGTAAGGCTCAGGATGCTCGCCCCATGAAGAAACGAAGGGAGCGACAGACATTTCCAATAGCACTTGCCAATCATCAGCTTGTTGCAGCATTTTTGCGTTATTCCGTAGGTCATGTTGGCCAGCTTTTGGGACTTCTGATGCATTACGTTGATGTGTTCCTTGAAGAGCCTTTTCTTGTTTGTGACACAAACTCCCAGGTACTTGATCTGTTGAACCACAGGGATGTCTGCGATGACCTTGGGTTGCTCCTGACAATTGTAGATGATGACCGCGCTCTTGTCTTTGTTTATCTTCAAACCGAACTTGCCACTGATGTCCGCCAGCGTTGTCACTAGGTGCTCTGTCTCCTGTAAAGTCTCAGTTAGGACGAGTCCGTCGTCAGCAAAGAACAACACTGGGATTCGGACAATATCATTTTTGAAGCCCAGTCCCGTATCTGTCAGAGCTTTGGCGATAAGGTATGTTACAATCTTGAAGCTTGTCGTTGACCCATTGCATCCTTGTCGTATTCCTGATGTGACGTCGATGACTGCTTCCAGTCCTGTCATTGAGCTTGATTTTCGTTGAGTCTCCCTGGTAGATTTGCGTCGTAGCATCAATGACTTTGGAGTCGATCTTGTAGAACTTCAGGGCTTCTACCATTTCAGCTCTATTAACCGAATCGAAGGCCTTCGAATAGTCAATGGCTGTCACAAACAATGGCTTTTTCCTGCGAAAGCTGTCTTCAACGCAGTAACGCAATAGGAATAAATTGTCTTCAACCTTCCCCCCACTAGTGAAACCTGCTTGTATCTCTAGCATTTCATCATTATACTTTAAGTGACTCTCAATTTTATCCTTCAGAATACTCATGAACAGCTTGTATGATATGTTTGTCAACGCTATGGGACGCAAGTCTTTTGCAGTGGGTTTCTTGATCTTGGGGATCATTTTAGTCTTCGACGTCTTCCACGAATCTGGCTTCGAGTCGGCATCCAGTTGCTGTTGTAGACAGCTTGTTAGGGTATCTAGGCCTTCCTTCGTCATTACGAGTGCTTTGTATAGTTCCGGTTTGAGCAAGTCTGGTCCTGGTGCAGTTTTGTTCTTCAGTCCGGATACTGCTTTTTTCACATCTTCTACTTCAATCTGTGTGGGGTTCATCTGTGATATTTCCTGTCTCACAGGGAGAGCCATATCCATCAACTCTCTCATGTGCCTCGGGAAGTGGGGTCCCTCGTGCACAGTTCTCCTCATACCTTCTTCATATTCCTTCTTCACATCACTGTTCCATATTTTACTGATCTCGTTTGAGTGCTGCTGGTACACAGTTTTCCAGAATTTCACCAACTCCTCTTCTTCCACTTCTGGCTCCAGTTTCTTGCCTTCATTGTCATACAGTTGGATGTCTTCTTGGTTTCTCTCCTTCTTCCTTAGTTTGTCAATGTTTTCAAACATTGACTTGCTCTTGTTAGCACTGTTCCTGATTTCTTCAGTTGTCTTCTTTTCTGATTTTGTCACAGCCTCTTTCACCATTTCCTGGACCTTCTTTTTCTGTATTTTATACTGTTCATTGAGCAGCTTCTCTTGATCTTTGTCTTTGGTGTTTCGTTTTTCCCGGTTTATGGCCCTGCGTTTCTTGATAGCTTCCCTGATTTCATCTGTGACCCATGGCTTTTCTTTCACCTGTTGCCCTTTCAGGCTTTTCTTGCGGTATGTTGCTTTTAACTTGCTGTTGGCCACTTCTGTCATCAGGCCATTGAGCTCCTCTATGTTTGTTATGTTCTCATTTCGGAGCCTTCTCTGCATCTCTTCTCCGAAGAGTTCCAATGAGCCAGCATCTACCTTCCAGAATTCTCTGACACTTGTCGTTCCCTTATTAAAGCTTTGGTTTCTTGTGGGTATTTCCATTCTGACCGAGACCATATGGTGATCTGAGAGGTCAAAAAGCTCCCTCTCTTCATCAATTGTCATGCTCTCAATACGCTGATAGCACCTCCTATTTGCGAGGACATAATCGATTGCACTATTTTGGTCCTGCCTTGACCATGTATATGTACCTTGGCAAAATTCTTCCAGGTTTAGCAGTATCAGTGATGATTTATT